TTCGGTATGATGAATATCAAAATCTTAAATCATATAGCTTTCAAGCTTAACATCGTCATGGTTTGTGAAAAAGACTACTTTTTAAATTAAATGGATTTTCTATACAAAAAATACAAGCACTAACAAATGTATGATTTTCTAAAGCTATTTTTCATTTTTTTCTTATAATGCAACTTCCAAAGATAATGTTATGTACATTTTTTCAATCTGCATATGCCTCGTCATTCAGTGCTTCTCGTTGACCATAATACCATTATAAAGTATGTAAATGTAGTTGTTTGCATATCTGTTAGACACTCGTGTTCTCTTTGTTAATGCATTTTAAGCATAAGTTACAGGTAACAATGTACATGTCAGGACATATTTGTCTTTTGGACATAGGTGACATTTTTACTTTCGGACTTTCACTTAATGACCTAATCAATGTCCTTTTGAAAAGTAACACATAAAAAGTAGAAATCTTTGTTATAGTTAAAAAGTTCATACTGTTTTGAGTTCAGAACCCAGAACCAGCAGAAGGTGTGGTAAATCGTACTTCCTGTCTCAGAGACTTTGATAGCTGTTATTTTTAACAGCTACAGGTTAAAAGCATACCCCGACAATCAAAAACGAAGGTATTAAACTTAGTTCTACTAGTGTCAAGTTCACGTCAAATAGGGAAGATACATATTTCATGACATATCCACATTGGAACAAAACTTCAGGAAGTGTTACGGAGTTTATTGACAATCAAAACAATAACAACAACACCCGAACGTATGTTTTTATTTGTGCAAAATGTTATCAATTGATTGATGTATGACATTTTCTACGTAACGTTTATCATTTGGTTGAAACTGCTCGTATATTGTATTTTTAAACTCTAAGATTAAACCGCATTATTTGTTAATTCTTTAATACAACATATACTTTTATTGAATTAAAATGAATAACACGACATGTAAATATATATTGAAAGGGCCGAACAAAAGTTGGAGATTGATCAAAAATATCTTCAATTAAAAATATAATGGTTCGATATATTTTCGGCGCCTGTCTGCTGACGGTCTGCTAATTATTACAATATCAGTAATTGGCCTTATGGTAGCAGTTATCTTTGCTTTGCTGATTGTCATCTTTTGGCGAAGACGGTATGTATCATTTTGTACTTCTGTTATAACTTTGAATTTCAAAACAAAAACTTTAACATCTTAACCGGATTATATGTTTAGACATATTTTAAAAAAAGATTAATTTATAGAATGCCAAAGGTATCTGATGAAATAGACGAAATAAAGGTGTATGAACCGTTAACATCTCCGGATACAAAGACCAGTAATGAGGATGAGAATGTATACCGAATCGTTAGTTTTGAGAACTAGGGACCTGCAGTTAAGATTGAAGGGAAGTTAGGAAATTATTACAGTAACTTTTAAAGCTACAGGAGCTACTGTAATAATGTTGATTACGAATTGGCCAACACGGAGAAAGTACATTATGATGAAGATGAACACTATGTAACTCTGCCCTAAAAACAGAGAGAGTTATTTCAATTGCATTTTGTAAAACTGTACCGTTTTATTTATACTAGTTAAAAAGTATGAACGATTGATATATATAATCATAAATTTTAAAGTTAGATATTATCCGCCAACATAATTACAGATTTAATTATTTTACATCAATGTTTTATTCTACCGCTTTTAAAAGGGCTTTTCCAAATGACTAACTTCAACGATCACAGAATAGATGCTTTCTTTTTGTTAAGATGAAGTTGGTCGATATGAGGAATAAAGTCGGAAAATATAATTATGTATAACACTATGGTATGCGGAATGTTTGTACATGGGTTTAACATTAAAATCAAGTTAAGTGTCCGTATCAGAATATTTTATGAAATTTTGCATAACTGTTAGTTTAAACATATTTATTTCAATATTTTACATATATTACGTATTATATTTACATAATTGTTACATAACATTGAAAGGGATTAGAATGAAAGAAAACTCCCTAACTGTAAAACTGTTTACGTATCTTCCTCTTATTTATATAAAAAGTGCTGATATCGTACATACTCGTGAGTAAAATTTTTGAAATTTTTGCATTCGGTCGTACTTAAAATGGTCATCATTACGAGTGTCACGGCTATTTGAGTACAACTATATTATCAAATTGTTACAAATTTCGTGCATATCAAGATGATTACTGAATTATTTTTTTCCAAAAAAGCTCTGTGACGAAATGATTTCACAACATTATAAAGGAGATCAGTGAAAATGTCATCCATCTATTACAAAAGCATTTGTATGTAAGGAACGTAGTCGTGAACACAAGCTTTTATGTTTTCAGTCTTTTTATTGTTGTATTCAACCTGTAAACTATATATTGAAAATACAAATATTCTCTATTCTGTTTTAACTTAAAGCTACATTAAATAAATATGTAAAAATATTTTGCCGTCGGACTAAAAACCAAACATTCTACAGTTTCATTAACCTCTTAAACAGTTTTGTTGTAAATCTTATCAAATGTTATTAAAAAATAAGGATTTTAAACTGAAAACCCCACGGTAACACTAAAGTTCGTATACGAATTCTAACATGCAAATGAAGACTATAATCAGCTCGTGTATGCGCTACGTCACAGTGTTATAGTTGCTATCCGGAACACAGAAAATATGAGATTTTCTTGTGCAAACACACTTTAATCGTTTTAGCTTCACGGTGCACTAGGCCTGGGTTTCAGAAAAAAGTAATCATCTCATAAAATGATTTAATTTGTATTAAAATATCCGTTACAATGCGGTAAAATATGCCGTTAAATTAGGACTGCTACTTTTACCCGTGTTTGGTGATTTAATATTAATGTATGATTCGAAGGCGGAGTTTCTCATGCAGACAGAAATTGTACTTCCGATTTCGCCACAATGAGGTTGCAGTTTTATATGCTTATAAAACGCCCTTTGGTAGTCCGGACACCAAAATAAGATCTGGAGTCGATATGTAACCAAATTTTATAATAAAATTTAATGTAGCTTTAAAAATAAATCAAAATCGTTACTACAAATAACGACATTCAGTAGCAATACTTCGTCTATATGCATTAAATATAATGGCGTTATTCTGATGACGTCATCTTGTTTCTAAAGAAAAAATAAATCAGTTAGGTGGGTAAGGGATTCTAATACTAAAAAATATGCGTTTATTCAATTGTTTAATAAATGGTTTGTGGTTTATTTTTGTAGACATCCCTGAATTTGAAAATTTACTATTTGAAATGTATTTATTTCACCTGAAAATCTAAATTTGTATTTTGTATACTTTTGTTGTGTTGGAGAATTGTTTGCTTGAAATTTGTGATGATAGTAAATCGATTGTTTAATAAAATAAGTTCATTTCCTTCAAAGGTTTTATAAAATATTTCAATGAACGCAACCCCAAAATGACCTAGCAACAGGAGACGGAATTTTTGGTTATGATTTATTGGGCATTAATATTAGAAATTATCATCAAAGAAAAGTAAAAAGGTGTGCCTTTGGAGACAATTTCATATAAGGTGTGATATCAATTTAAAATTTATGACTACATTATTGCCAATTTGAAACAGGAAGAAAAAAATCTCATTGGATGATATCCGTTTTGCCATGGCATATTATAATTTTGCATGGCAATATAAAAATAGCTTTTCCAACTTCCTGATACAAAATCATCAAAATTTATCGACACGGTGTATTGAACCATAGTTACATAAATGTATCTAATTATAGGTTAAGATTATTTATGGGGAATATTGCTATGATTTAATATACAATATCCATTTCAAATTGTGATGTTTATAAACTAAAGAATGTCATACCTGAAAGGATTTTTTAATGTCGATATAAGATGTGAATTGGCGGTTAAATCAGTGTATCTATATTGTAAAACCAAAAATCACCACAAATACTTTCAATCTATACATGCTGTTTTACCGTTGCATTGCATACAATATTGTTTTATGGAAGTGGAATAAGGAAGTCTCTGATATTTTCTTTTAGAAAAGTAGTACATTTTACATTTTGGATGAGATCATACATCTTTTTAAATTTTACACATATACGTAGTTCGTGACAAGGACTATGGTTTTATACTTAAAAACTCGCTTCCAATTTTTGGTCAGAATTTGGGTACAGAACTAAAGAAAGAAGTATTGTACAAAACATTATACATTTATGTATGGCGCACTTTAAATACCGTTCACTTCTTTTTTATATTGTTTCCTTACCTACAATACAAAATATCATTAAAATTGATAAAACATTTGTGTTCTATTTTTTTTTTTTTTAGATTAAGTAAAGGTGCTCAAAATATTATATAGGGTAATATACAGAAAATGAACAAAACAGACTACTACCTTAGATGCTTTAAAATATAAACTATCACATGGAAGGAAATATGCGACATAAAAAATCTAAAAAAGGCTTTGCTAGCCTTACTTGTAAATAATATGCCCTTGAAATGATAAAAAAAAAATCGAATTCAAAGGCAGATAGCTCAAAAATGATCTCGTTGACTCAAGTTCGGTTTTACTAAACATGTTTCTCTTATTATACAGTACAGTTTTTAGTATCCAGAAATGTTGATATTTAGATATAGAAAACGTATAAGCCTGAATATTTACATGGTTGTATGAACAATATATCATTAGTGTATCAACATAACTATGATCTTATTGCTTTATAAGAGCAAAAGAAATTTTGAATTTGTTCTGACAAATATCAATAAAATCAAGACTTGCTACTTAACCAGCTGCTAAAATGGTGCTGCTTAAAGGGTGTGTGCTTAAAAGGGTACACTTGAAAGAAGTTGCACAATTAATTGTTTAACCTGAACAACTAAAGATATCTGAGTATATAACCACCCTTATTATTTTAAGCAAAATTTAAGGCAAAACATTTTGAATAGTTTCAACACAACGGGTCGTTAAGTAGCATATCATTTTTTAGTTATTTAAAACTTCCGTTTCTAAAAATAACTAAAGTCAAGTGATGACAGATTCTATCTTCATTTCAAATCGTCAAAGCAGACAGACGACGATGGAGAAAACACGGATAGTTTATATAATGATAGTGTTGGCATTATGCACTTCTTTTGTTGGTATGTATTTATTTTTTAATGTAAACCGTAATGTTAATACCAAAACTCAAAGTTATATAAGGTAGACTTTGTCAAATTATCAAAGCCTTTTAACAATTCCTGGGGTACTTTCTTAACTTAAAAGTATTGAATATTTATTGCTTTGTCATAGCACATAACACATATCATTATACATTCCTATAGGCGAAACATGTTTGCTATTTAATTTTCATAATATATAATTGCATAGTGAGTGACTTTTTAATTCATGTGTATTATTTAACACTTATTATTGTATGTGTTAACTAAATTATAAGATTATGTTACTAGATAAGATTATTTGACAACTAATCCAGGAACTTAGATAAGTCGTGGCTAAAATTGATAAAAAAAAATTGTATCAAGGTGTCTTATTTTCGACTATCTGAATGATGCATCACGTTTTTTAATTTATGTGTGCGTTTCTGCGTGTGCATGCATATGCGTTAATTTATTGGGGTCGTTGTGGGTAGGATATTTCCAAATTTTGTCCATAATCTTAGGATATTATCATAACTTCATTCACTATGACAAACAAGTCGTTGTATCAATCATAAGCTAACTGGTTTAGGTGTGTTGTGGTCTGTATTTCGTCTGTTATTTTTTTTTTTTTTTTTTTTTTTTTTTTTTTATACTTAAAACTGAAATTTAGCTCATCAAATCGGCTATAAAACTAAAATACGAGAATAAAAATCATCATGAATCATGAACGGGTTTTCTATATAAATATTTTTCACAAACTATTCCATATTTGTGACCCTTATGTCTTTTTCCATTTATAAATAAGAACAAACTTGCAGGTTACTGGTTTGTAGATTTAATTTGTGCTGGACACTTTATGTGACATGACTCAACATACAACATCTCAACTCAATATGATACAGAATACATCTCTATATGATACATCAAGCCCTGAAAGTATAAATATTTAACATTACATACTATCATGAAATTCATAGTATCATACATACATTACAATTGCTTAAAATTCATCAATCTGTTCTATCAACTGATCAGTCTATAGGAATAGTCAATTCACTATATATTATCTAAATAAATCATGTACACATTTAATACATTTTTATATGTATGACATCATTGCTTCTAGTGACCACCTAATCATTTACTTATAAAACAATATACAATTTATGCTCATCTTAATAATATACATGTAGCCCCGAAAAATTGTAAACAATGACAAATAAATATAATATAGCCTATTATTTGTGGATCAGACTCTGTAACTATAACTCTGTCACTCACACTGTGATATTAGCTCTTTATACTGCAATCGATTTTAAACCTACAGGTAAACCTATTTAAAACTATTAATAATAAAAGCTGACAGTCAAATAAACGTTTGGATCCATACACGCTTTTTGATTGAATAGGATTCGCATTGCCGCACTGCATGTGAACAAACATTTTAGATAACATATTCAAACTGTAAACCAATGTCTAAAATATGCACATTTTTGACGACTGTAAGGTTTATTATAATACCCAAATAGAGCTGGTGAGGGTTAATGTACAAATTATACAGCTCTAAAGACACTTTATTTATCATTTTGTTAAGCTGATGCTGAGGGAAGTTGTTTCGAAGACGTTACGGCACTACCAAATATGCCTCTCCGTCAACCAGACAGATTCTGGGGAGAGGAAGTAAACCTCCGTATAAGTGATGATAATCTGAACTTTGAGTGGTACAGTGTTGTGCATAATGGATGGCAATATATTATGGTTGACTCGACACAAAGGCCAAATTATACGAGCTGTTCTACATTCTATCCAGTTTATTTGCAAGGTATTTTTATCGCCAATATTTTCAATATTTTTCAGTATTACAACATTCATGTATAATAGGTTTTTTTAAAGTCCTATATATTCATTGTACGTCTTTTTATTTAAATTTTAGTAATTGATCATTTAATCAATTGAAGAAGTTTCTTATAAATCTTATAAATCGTAAAAGTGAAACGGGTAAAGGAGAGTCCCTAGATAGTCATTTTAAAAATAAAACTAACTCGCAATCTTTATGACGGAAGCTTTTTGTATAAAATAATATTTAATACATGCCTTTTATATAACCCACCTAAAGGTACCCATCCATCGATAAATTCATTAACCGAAACACCAACAAATGCCGTGGCTTGCAAACGTGATTATTTGTATCCGTGTGATATACAACATCAAGTGAAGATAAGGAAATGTGGAGATGAAATACAGTACTACCTGCCCCCGACAAAGTCATTTAGTGCATTCTGTTTCAGTAAAGTGTTTATATTTATAAATTAAGTATAAAAATAAATGTTATTTCACTGGAACGGGAACATATATAGTTCAGATAATTGTATCTAAACAACTTTCAAAAACACTGTATCTATATATGTACATGTAAAGCATTTAATTTGCATCTAATAATAACTAAAACAATCTAAAGTGTCATTGTAAAGAAAAAAATGTAAAGTGACACAATGAAATACATTACAATTTCGATGCACATATTTTCAGGTAATTATTCTAAACTGCACATTACTCCTGATATATCAGATGTTGTACTCGGAAACATAGGCATTGCACCGGAGCTCAGATTCACAGAAACTGCGATAGTTACTCCATTTGGAAATTCAATACATTTTGACCCGTATTTTCAGTTCCGATGTTTATTTAATGTACAAGAGTCGTTCTATTACAAGGTTAACTGGTAAGTTAAGAATATGATATCGTAAGCACAGAGGTAAGCAAACAAATATTAATTCTGGGGGCATTTTGAATTCATTTAAGATATTATACCATCAGCCTTTCTCATTCACAAGGTAATGCGTTATTCTTTTTGACATTTATAGAGATAAAAAAGCAAAAAACATTATTATGACGGATAATTAATTTTGATTGCCTGTGGTTGCTTGGTTTTGTTTGGGGCAGTGAACGTCGCCTCTCCTAACTGAACATTTTTATCCTATTTTTATTAATACATTTGTATATTATCACGTTAACATTTGCAATGCTATTTTTAATGTTTTTATAATAGAATACAGAAAACAGAACCCCTATTGGACGCCTGTTCATGGACAGTCCTAGAATGTGCAAAATACTGTCTTGCCCCCCTAGCATCAACTTGAGGCCAAGCCAAGATTTAATCAGTTCATTGATCATAAGTACGATTGACATTTTAACTTCTGATATATATTTTGCAAACAAAGTTTACTTTCATTTTGATTACAGGTACGTGAACAGAGCCCTTTTAGTATCATATGGCCCTACAACATACATAAATGGCTTACTTTTTCACCAGAGTGTGCTTATAGACAACAATATTAAAATGGGGTTTGACGTAAGTATTGTGTAGTGACATACAATTACTACAATAGGTTTTATAAGTATACCCCATACAAACGTTTTTGTTATTGTTTTGAATATCTTTTTTTTCAACCTTTTCCTTAAAACATATAATG